AAAAAAAAAAGAGTTTATTAGAAATACAGGGATAGAGAGTGCACAGGCCTGTGGGAGAGACACGTGCATGGAGAAGAGGAAGAGGAGAGAAGAGAGAGCTGGGAATATGGCGCTCCGCTTTAAAAACCGGCTGGGGGCGTGGCCAGGACACGTCACTAGTCCACGCATGTGCGTAGATCACATGGTCACGTAGCGCGCTTACGTAGCCATGTAACGTCACGGATTCTGGTCACGCGAGATGCCTTGGCCGGAACTTGCTAGGCGGAGATGTCCGGGTCCGCCGGGTATCCTGGCTACGAGAGACGCTTTGACCCGGAAATGGCTAGGCGGAAGTGTCCGCCTGGTAAATGGTACCGTGGGGGGCGTGTTGTAAACCCTTCAATTAAAACCAAGTAAGTCACACACATACCTCAGTGAATTGTCCCATACAGAACTCAGTGAAATTCTGGTATGAGGCTTTCTCTACTTAAAGGGAATATTTATGTTTTGATAGTTCTTTAAGAAGTGAAACTCAGAAGTATTACACAATATTTCAGGACAAATGCACTTAAGTAAATATTAAAGAAGAGAATATTACCAAGTTCTAGATGATTTCAAGGCTTGAGATACAGCTTGTACCAATGCTTGCACATGAGGCGAATGCTGTGCAGGCCTTGGTATTTACAACCCTGGCCACAGCTGTAGGCAGAGGCCGTTTGACTGCTTGTGGGAATTGACAACCGACTAGCGTTTAATGTGCAGCCAGTGTAACATAAAAGGGAATGAGTCTCACAAAGTGATCATTCCCCAAAACGGCTTTGTTTCAAATTTTAGTTCACAAATTACCCAATAAAACATACAAAGTTTGAAATCTACATTAGTTATTTTGACTTAGATGGTCTAGGTTATAAACTTTGGCATATTTTATATTGCTTTTGGCTATTCCAAGTATTTTTAAAAAAGTATTCATCTTTAATTAGAAAAATTGTTGAACACCTATTTATCAAGCAGTATGTTGGATCCTTTGTGGGAACAATGTGGGTAGGCTCCACTCTTGCTCTCCTGTGCATTCATGGAAGGCTTTTGTGTGACTCCATTCCAGAGCACAAGGATGAAGAGACTGGGCTAACATGAGTTAAATGCAGTAATAGAGATTTTTGCTAGTTGTACAGATAGAGCTTTATCGGTGAGTTGGGAAACATACTCAGGAGGTGACATATGCATTGTAGATAAGTAGACAACACTTTGGGTATTGAAAAGGACGTTCCTTAAAAAAAAAAAAAAAAAAAAAAAAATCCCCAAACCAAACAACAGAAATCCCTAAAACCAAAGCAGGTTTTCTGTTGAGACGTGTTTCTGGATTGGAAAATAGAAGGGTTTGGAGTACTGGCGGTGGGGTGAGATTCTGGGGACAAAGCTAAGGTCTGCTGCTGCGCTACTTGAAGTTATGTACTAGCTACTTAATTCCATGCCTTTATCCTCTATGCAAAACAAAAACCCCACAAAACTGTTGTGAAAATGCAATTAGATAATAAATGCACAGTATCAGTTTTAGCAAGTTTCACTAAATTCTAAACATGTGGCAATAGGAGGAAACCATTACCTTTCATTTCTTTGGATGTATTTGGGGAGAGATGTAGTTGGGGGCTGGGCTTGGTGTTCTAACTCACACACATGATCCCAGTACTTGGGAGGCAAAAGCAGGAGGATCAGTGAGTTTGAGGCCACCTCGGAGTTCAAAACTACCCAGAGCTACAGAAAGAGACAGTGTTTTATTTTTTTATTTTTTTTTTTTTGTTTTTTGAGACAGGGTTTCTCTGTGTAGCTTTGCGCCTTTCCTGGAACTCACTTGGTAGCCCAGACTGGCCTTGAACTCACAGAGATCCGCCTGGCTCTGCCTCCCGAGTGCTGGGATTAAAGGCGTGTACCACCACTGCCCGGCTAGAGACAGTGTTTTAAAACAGACCAACAGCCCCTTCCCCTCCCCAAAGCCCAGCCAAGAATAGTTTGGGCCAAATTGCTATATTTATGGCCTTGAAATTTGCATTAGAGGAAGTGAGTAGTCATCAAAGGATGTTAAGTGGGTAAGTAACACCATACAGTTATAGAACAAAAGCTGTAATGAAAATGTGAAAGGGATCATACTAGAGAGAATACAGTAAAAAGAGTACTAGAACCAGGCAGTGGTGAGCACGCCTTTAATCCCAGCATTCAGGAGGCAGAGGCAGGCAGATCTCTGAGTTTGAGGCCAGCCTGATCTACAAAGAGGATTCCAGGACAGGCTCCAAAGCTACACAGAGAACCCTGTCTCGAAAAACTAAAAAAATAAAACAAAACAAAAAAGAGTACTAGAATAATTTGCATAGTCATAATAAAGGTTGTTATTAAAAGAAGAGAAAAAGGAGTTTTGAGAGTTGTTCCTCATCTCTCACTGGGAATTGAACCCAGGGCTTTGTGAATGGTAGGCAAACACTCTACACACTGAGACACACTTCCCAACCCTACTTTTGAGAGAGAGATACAGTTCATAAAGAGAAATGACAAGTCCTATATATAGTAGGAGGTCAACTCCAAACTGACATTTCCTAGAGAGAAGTAAGAAAAAACAAGGAAGGACAGGTGTTATGAGGAAGAAGCTGTTTTTGATTTTGTGCATTTCCGATCATATAAACACTCATTTTTATACACAAAAGCACGTAAAGAACCTAGCTTACCTTTGGTATTTGGAGAATACTAGGGAGGAGATAAAAATTTACCACCACCAAGTCACTGGTGCATTGGATAATGTTGGAACTTGGTATTCCAAGAAAAGGAGGAAAAGACGCTAATACATATTAGGCCTCTGTAAGTGCTCAATGAAAATTTGTTGAGAAAAATAACTCAGGGTAGCATATGTATTTTAAATGTGAATCAAGGAAAATGAGCAGGTAGAAAAAAAGAGTGGTAGGGAGAAAACCAGGAAGGGAGAATTTGTGGTGTGAGCTGAATAAGATCAGATATTACTGGCTAAATAATAATCCATATAGTGGGCTCTGTCATGCTTGTTGCAGATATTTACATATGTAGTTATATGCAGATATGCATTTTGTAAGTGATATGGTTGGTAAACAGAAAAATCTGTTTACCCAGTGTGTTGATGGATTTTCAATAGAGTAGAAAATAGAAAAGCTATGTTCAGTGGTTATTCATACACTGTTTTCATTGATAGAATCCTCTTTATAGTTTCTATTGAAGATAATTCAAAATTAATTAATATTTTACTCTTTATTCAAAGGTAAAGTACGAAGTAACAGAGGATGTGTATACTTCCAGGAAGAAACAACATCAGACCATGATGCATTATTTTTGTGCATTAAATACTCTTCAGTACAAGAAGAAAATAGCTTTGTTAGAACCTCTACTTGGATACATGCAGGCTCAGGTAATACTATAGTATGTTTTGGGTTATATCTGTCCTAAAAACCTTGTATTAGGCTTGATATTTGCATTAACTATAAGGATATTGCAAACTGTTGTCAACATACTAATTGGTATTGTGGTCTTAAAAAGTAGTTTTAAAGACTGTCATGAGTGTTCTATTTTAATGAGGTTTTCCTTGCAATTGACATTCTAAAATGTTAGAGAATAAATGGAAACACATTGTATTCAGACTTTTTCCACCACAGTTACAGAAAGCTAGATGAATTTCAGTGTGATACCTACTGCTGGAGCTTCTTTTCATTATTGCTTCATATGTCTGAGAAAGAATGAGCAAGTTTGCATTTGTCCTGTGTTCCTTGCATACTACTTGAGTCAGAAATAATAGATGAGGGGGCTGGAAAGATGTCTCAGTGGTTAAGAGCACTGACTGCTTTTCTAGAGGACTGTAGCTGGAGTTATCTTCAGTCCCACCTGGCCCGGTAGCCACTCAGACTCAAATAAACACACAAACGCTTATATTATTTAAACTGTTTGGCCTAATGGCTCAGGTTTCTTGTTATCTAGTTCTTATATCTTAAATTAACCCATTTTTATTAGTCTATACCTTGCCACTCGACTCATGGCTTACCGGTACTTTACATCCTGCTCCTCATGGCAGCTGCTGGCAGCATCTCCCTGCCTCAGCCTTCACCTCCCAGAATTCTCCTCCTTGTCCTGCCTACACTATCCTTCCTGCCTGGCTACTGGCCAATCAGCGTTTTATTTATCAATCAATCATAGCAACATATATTTACAGCATACAGGGCATCCTATAGCAGAGGACCCAGGTTCAATTTTCAGTACCTATATGATAGGGGAATCTGACACTCTCTTCTGACCTCCAAGGGCACAAGTCACACACGTGGTGAACAAACATACATGCAGGCAAAACACCTTTATGCTGGAATGAATAATATAGTTCACATGCCCAAAAAGGGGCAATAGATCAGTTTCCTTTTTTTTTTTTTTTTTTTTTTGGTTTTTCAAGACAGGGTTTCTCTGTATGGCTTTGAGTCTTTCCTGGGACTCACTCTGTAGCCCAGTTTCTTAAAGAAACTTGCCATGAGGTGGTGGTGCACACCCTTAATCCCAGCACTCTGGAGGCAGAGGCAGGCGAATCTTTGTGAATTTGAGTCCATCGTAGTCTATAGAGCGAGTTCCAGTGCCATACAGAGAAATCCTGTCTCAAAAAAACAAAAAACAAACAAACAAACATAAACACCAAGAAACTTGAATATCCCTTCAGTAGCCTGAGGCCAGAGGAATAGTTGAGGCCGCCTAGGGTTACACAGTGAGACTTTATCTCAAATAACAACAGCAACTCCCTTAAAATATGTGAAAGATGACATAGTGGAATTTATCTAGTTTTCCTCAGTGGCTCTGTGTCTGGTACATATCGTAAACCACAACCTGCTATTTCACAAATCAAATAACCCAGTGTCATTTCTATATGTTAATTATTAAGCGGTGCTGTATACTGTACAAGAGACGCCAAGAGGCACAATAAAACCCACTATCAGAGTTTATTAAGGGAAGAGAATAGAAAGGGTGTGCATAGGCCTATGGAATGGCCGTACAGGAAGAGAGAAGGAATAGGTGGAACCCGTTTTTATAGGTGTGTGTTGCGGCCCCCCCCCCACGCAAATACGGGTTTCACGCATGCACATATGTTATGTAATCACTGTGTGCAGATTATGTGATCACGCAGCACATGGATTACATACGACATAAGTCCCTAGGATGACTAAGCATCTTGCCTGGCTACTGGACAGCGCTTGCCTGGTCATGTAGCTGGGGAGTGGCTAGGAATTCTAACACTGTGTAATCCTGTGTCTTAGAAATTGTTAATGTGATTTACATGTTTGTGTTGTATGGCCTTCTACTTCTCCACCTTAGATAAGTTTCTTTAAGATGGGCTCTGAAAATCTCAATGGACAACTGGAAGAATTTTTAGCTAATATTGGAACAAGTGTACAGAAGTAAGTATTTTGTTTTCATTTTAATAAAAATGAAATTATGACACTAAGTTAACAACTAAATGCCATAATTTAAGCATTTACAATTTAATTTCCTAGGGGTTAATTTTCTTGCCATGAGTTAATTTCTCAGCTTTATGGCTGAATTGTGGAGTTTTTACTATCTTCCTTCTAGAATGTAAACTCTAGATTTCATAACATTGTGGTATTTGATGACAGTTTTAATAAAAGCTATCTTTAATTTCCGAATAATATAGATACATAACAGTAATTCTCCCTAAGTGAAATTTTCTTTAAGATCTCATTTGTAAGCATTGCTTGGAAGATTATTAAGCAAATCTTGTTTTCTGTGCTCTACTGTGTAGAGAGAGAAAGCACTTCTAGTCACCTTTGCTGTCTGTGTAGCAATGCTGTTAATCTGAGGCATGGAGAGATGAAACTGGAGATTTTTCATTTTCTCTTTTGCAGTGCTGAAGCTTGTTGAACACAGGCCTGTGCTATATCATAGAGCATTTTAAAAACTATTCTCTAGTTAGGTGTCTAGTTACTAGTGTTCAAATTTGATATTGTTTCCAAAATACCTAAGTTTTTTTCTTTGGGTTTTTTGAGACAGGGTTTCTCAGTGTAGTTTTGGTGTCTGTCCTGGATCTCGCTCTGTAGACCAGGCTGGCCTCGAACTCACAGAGATCCGCCTGGCTCTGCCTCCCGAGTGCTGGGATTAAAGGTGTGCGCCACCATCGCCTAGCTCAAAATATCTAAGTTTTAAAAAGCATTTAGCCGGGCGGTGGTGGCGCATGTGCCTTTAATCCCAGCACTCGGGAGGCAGAGCCAGGCGGATCTCTGTGAGTTCGAGGCCAGCCTGGTCTACCGAGCGAGATCCAGGAAAGGCGCAAAGCTACACAGAGAAACCCTGTCTCAAAAAAAAAAAAAAAAAAAAAAGCATTTATGTTACTTTAGCCATCTTACAATTACTTTTTAAATAATTAAATATATGGGCACATAGGATTGGTAAGGCATTCTTTCTTGGTTGTGGCTGGAAGTAACTAGTCTGTTCTCTGTATTAGTGTTCGAAGGGAAATGGATGGTGATGTAGAGACCATGCAACAGACAATAGAAGACTTGGAAGTGGCCAGTGATCCTTTATATGTGCCTGACCCTGATCCTACCAAGTTTCCTGTCAATCGAAATTTAACCCGAAAGGCTGGATACCTAAATGCTAGGAAGTAAGAAAACTATTGTAATTTTCATATCTCATCTTGTAATATTCAATCAATATAATGTATAATTAATATTATTTGCCAGATTGTTTGGGTTTTACTAAAGGTTGAAACCTCTTTTTTTAAAAAATACATTTTTATTTTTGTGTATCTATACATTATTATTATTATTATTTTGTGTATACATGTTGTAGCACAGTTTAGGAATGGGGGTGAGAGGAGAGCTTTCTGGAGCTGGTTCTTTCCACCATGTGGGTGGTTGGGGTAGAACTCAAGTTTCTAGGCTTGGTGGGAAGTGCCTTCACCATTATGCCATCTTGGTAGCCCAAGGTTGAAACTTTTTAGTGGTGTATTTATGAGCTTGTTGACAGATGGACGTTCATAAATACTTTCAAAATACTACCTTAAGCCAGGTGGTGGTGGCGCATGCCTTTAATCCCAGCACTTGGGAGGCAGAGGCAGGTGGATCTCTGTGAGCTCAAGGGCAGCCTGCTCTACAAAGTCAGTTCTAGGACAGCTAAGGCTACATAGAGGGATCCTGTCTTGAAAAACCAAAAAAAAAAAAAAAAAAAACAACCCAAAAAACCTTACCCTAATATTTATTGACTAATTTGGATTTATAAAAGGGATGAAACCATTTGAGTCTAAATAAGCCTATCATAACATTATATTAATATTACTCACATATTTAACTATGTGATTATATCAAGTCAAATTTGAGTTTTCATTTGAAAATGGGCCAAGCTTCCTTCCCCCACTCTTTATTTATTGATAACTTCAGTTATCAATGCTTGCTTGGAACCTAGGCCCTTGAGCATCCTAGGTACATGCTACCCCATTGAGCTAAGTCTCCAGCCTTCGCTTGATATAGGATGGTGAAGTAGATTAAGCCCAGAAATAAAATTGAGTTTCTTCCCTGTAATGTTGAACTATAACTAGTATTTTTGATGTATCGTTTTAATAGTTTTTTTTGAAACTGTAAATTACACTTTCACACAAGTAAGTCAACATACACAAATCATTTTAGAGTCTTATATATCTTGACATCTTTGTGCCTTTTTGCAAGTTGTTTTGTTTTCACATGCTTGTTCTTGTGTCTGCTGATGATAAGGGATTTTTAGGTGTCATTATTAAAATATCAATGTACTTTCTTTAGTAAAACAGGCTTGGTGTCATCTACCTGGGATAGACAGTTCTACTTCACGCAGGGTGGAAACTTAATGAGTCAAGCCCGTGGAGATGTGGCAGGAGGCCTGGCCATGGATATAGACAACTGTTCAGTGATGGCTGTGGATTGTGAAGACAGGCGATACTGTTTTCAGATCACTTCTTTTGATGGAAAAAAGTTAGTATTTTTCTGCTGCTAATAGGACATATATTTTAAAATAAAATGTAGAATATATAGAGATTTAAAATTACTTTGTATTGTTGGGGTGTTCTGTGTTGTATGGGTTGGTCAAAGAAAGAGGTCATTCCAAGATGAAATTTTAAGGCCTGTGTGGCAACAGGAAGGTCCAGCCTCTGATGAACTGAACTGTACCCCCAACAGCCATTCAAAGGTATATTTATTGATTGCTACACAAAGTTGTTTTTTGGGTAAAGTATTTCCTCATACTAAGGTCCCTAATCTAATCTATATGTCTCTCTAATGAAAAGTATCTCATGCCCTCATGACTTTAGTCTTTACTGTGTACATTTGCAATACACAATAACCCAAGAGCCTCAGCTGTGCCAGAGGCATCTTGTGACCAAAGTCATGCGAAGGCTGCAACATCCCTTCAGAAAAACAATCTACAAATCACGGAAAACAATCACTGTTTTCCACAAAGATTCTTCAAGGTCAAAGTACTTCTAGAAAACAACTATTCACTCTAATGTTTACCTTGGATACAGTGAAAACGATTCATTTTAATGTTTACCCTACAATGATTCTGCTAAATTCCTTCAACTATATATTAAGGTAATTTGCTTTCTAATTTAATAGACATGAGTTCATTTTTTTCTGACTTAATTAAATAATTTTTTTAATACTTTGAAGTTGTCAAAGCAACAAATGGGGCATACCTGTGATTTCATGTTTGAGACTAGTCACTGAAGAATCCTGCATAGTATTGGGAAGGCAGTGTAAGTTAGAATGCCAGCCAAGGGTTGTTATTTACTTTGTGTTCTTGGACAAGTTACTTATAAACCCTCTGATTTCTATTTTTCTATACATCAAATATAGGCAGAGGAGTTGTCAGTTATTGTGGGGAATAGAATTCTAACATACATAATGTGCCCATATGTGGTGTACAGATTATAATGATAGTCTTATTTTGAAATGTTAATCAGTTACTTTCTGGTTAGGTTATCTTGTCCATTATTGTTTATCATGCCCTTTAAAAAATTCTATTACCTTTGCCTTAAATGAGAATCTATAGAGTAGGGCAATCCTTTGAAAAGCATAAATATTATTTATAATATTTTATTTATGCATTTTCTTTCCCTTCCCTTTCCCCTCCCCATCTCCTCTCTTCTTCTCTTTGAACCCACAACCTTGAGCATTCTAGGCAAGTCTTTACCATAGCTAGAGCCACAGCCCTTTTTATAAAATCCCATTTTGTGACAGGTTCTCAGTAAGTTGTCTAGACTGACCTTCAACTTGTGGTCCTCTTACTTTAGCCTCAGAAGTAGTTTAGGAGTGTTTAGTAGTTTATAAGCGTGCCACCATGCCTGGTCTAAGTACATTTTCTTAAATAATTGAAGGATATTTTGTATACATAAATTGGATCTGCATCCATTAAAAAAATTTTTTTAATAGGACTGGAGAAATAGCTTAGGAGTTAAGAACACTTACTGCTTTTACAGAGCATCGAGGTCCAGTTCTGAACACCCACATCTTGCAGATCAAAACTGCCTATAGCTCCAGTTCCAGGGAAACTGACACCTTTCTGGCCTCCAAGGGCATCTGCATTCATGTGGTGCACATCAACTCACAAATACTTAAATAAAACAAGTAAATCTTTAAAAAAAAAACCACCGGTAATGGCTGCATTATAATCTTAAAAAAAAAAAAAAAAACATACAACATAATTTAAATGTTTTCCTAATGATAGATATTTAAGTTAGCAGAGATTGATTTTGACCTTTGAACTTTCTCATTATTTTGAAGAAAAATCTGGGTTCTCTGAAAGTCATTTTTTTGTTCTCCATAATATTTATATACATTAAGGTACCTTTTTACATAAAAGATAATTTTGCTTACTGTCTTAGCGACATGGTTATTTTCCTAGTCAGTCCTTCTACAGACAGACAATGTATGTCAGTGCTGTAGATTAGAGTTCTTGTTTTCTGTTAGCCAAGTTTGCAGATTGCCAGCATTTACACTTTTGTATTGTCAGTGTTTGCTAATGCTTGGCATGGTTTCCCATTGTTCCTGATAGGATAGAAAATTATTAAAATTTAAATTTTCTCATAAAATATTAATATATGGACAAAAGCCATATATTTTATGTTAGTGATTCATATGTTGGAATTTTTATTTAACCTTATTGAGGGTGAAACTGCCAACAATGAAGTTAGTATTTTCTAGTCAGATAGAGATGCTGGGAAGTTGAAGTGCATTTTCTTCTTTTATGTTCTGTCTTCTGAGAGTGGACACTCCATCTGATTTTGCACATTGTGTTGCAGATAGCCTCTTGGTGTTCAGGCTGAAACCCTGATGCTCTGGTGTCTTCTTTCCCTAAAGTATTGTCACTTGTGTGTTTTTTTTTTTTCTTTAATTTTAAAGTTGAGGCTAAAGCTTCCATTCTTTTCTCTCTAGATCTTCAATTTTGCAAGCAGAGAGTAAAAAAGACCATGAAGAGGTAAAAATTTTTTTATAAAGTTAATTTCTTTAGCAACATTTAAAACTTTTTTTCCTGAGAACAAAGCATATTAATGTATACATGTCATTATAGAAAATTTGGAAAAATCCTAGTTAATTAAAAATCATTTTTAAATTTCTCTGTTCTCAAGCAGGAGTCTTAGTTTTCTAACAGTTTTGTAGCTGGAGGAACCTTAGACACCGTTTCTGTGCTGTCATAGAGTGTTATGTTCAGCAGTGACCTCATGAGCCTTCCAGCAGGCGTAGGGTCATGAGTTGACAGTTTCATTTATTCTCCGTCTCACTAACTCTGAGACACCCTGCTGCAGCGAGAACATAGTGGAGCAGATGTGGTGCCGCAGGAGCAACCAAAGCGTAGGCGTGGGAAAATGAAAGACAGGGAAACAAGGATTTGGGAGTCTGTTCTTCCTTACAAGCCTTTTCGTTCTGGCTCCGGTTGTACTCCTAGTATACCACATGTGGAAGGTAAGGTGTTACCAAGACTGATACTTTAGAAACTGTTTTCAGAAATAGTCTTCATGAAAATATACCCTAGCTGACTTTCAAGCATTTTTATTTAGTATTATAATTTTATTGGTAAAAGACAGTTAGAAACTCTGTAGAGACACCATGTATTTATTTCTCCTGGGAAAGGTAGTTGTGGTCCTTGAGGACACACGACTCTGCTCTCGGCACAGTTTACCACAGTAGTAGTCTTGTGAGGCCTGTCAGGCGCAGGAACCCTTGAGAGAGATGGAATAGTGTTCTCTATTTTGAAAGAAGGAAGATATATAATGTACATTCCCCGGAAAGAATTTGTATTTTAATTTTTTACATAGGTGTTGTGGTAACTGAGTTCATACTACCATGTTTGGTGGGAATTAAGGGAAGAAGTAATATAAAAATATATAAATATATACTATTAAGTTACAATTTAATGTAATTACTATTTATTTCCTTGTATAAATACATTTATTTAAAAATAATTAATCTGAAGCTCTCTTACATGCATATGTTTATAGCAGGGTGTCTTGGTTTTGTTTTGTTTGTTTGTGCTGCTGGGGATTGAATCCAAGGTCTCATATGTTTTGTAAAGTATATCCTCTACCACTGAGCTACATCCCCACCCCCAAGGTATTTTCTTATGAAGAGGATTATGTGCTACTTCTAATGAAAATTCTGTTTCAGTTTAATATTGAATAGTCTTCCTTAGTAGAGAGGTTTTATTGAAAAAAAATTAGTAATCATATTTAATTATTTTTCTTTTTCAGTGGATTTGTACAATAAACAACATATCTAAACAAATATACTTGAGTGAAAATCCAGAGGTACTATTTTTTATTTTGTTATTCAGATCTATCTCAGTGAAGTTATTTTGTGGTTTATATGGCTTTTATTGACTCCTTTCTCAATTTATGTAATCTCAAGTACAGAATCCATACAGTATACCATGTATTGTCTGTCACAGAACAGTGTGTTATTTTAAAATACACTAAAATCAGTTACTCAACTGGTATTGACAGTTTAGCTTTATGTTGAATGCCGTGGAGTAGGCAAAAATTAGGTGAAACTCCATAGCTCCTCTAGGAGTTACTATGGTAAGGGAAAACGGAAGCTGTGTGAGATTTTATTTACAATATGTTGTGATGGTTTAAAAAATGCACATGGTGGTCACTTACAGGCTTACATTTTGAGAATGTTAGGATTGGTGAGGACTTTGTTTTAGAGAAAATTCTGTAGAGATGCTGCAGATAATACAATAAAAACTAAAGCTTAGACACAGAGGTGACATGTAGATGAACTAGGGTGTAAATAAAAGTTTCTGGTGCAGAATAGAAAACTGAAGTCTGCATACAGATCATCTGGAAATCATGCTATGATTTTGGTACATCTATCTATAATGATGTAGCCTGAATTCTCAGTTTACAACTTATTCTTTGAGTAGCAAAGGATTCAAACCCAGTGAACCTCAGCTTGTAAACTTAGCCTAGGTACAGTTCAGATGTGCAGGTAGAATCCAAGGGTGCTGGTAGTTGAAGGAATGGAATGAGTCCATGCTATCTGAGAGTTGGGAAAAAACTTGGTCCTAGACAGAAGCTGCCTAGATCTAGTCTTCATGAGCTGGCTATGCTGTAAACCCAGGTGCTTCCCAGAGCTGGAGAGGGATTGATGATTTCAGTTGAAAGTCTAAGTCTTAAGCTCTTCCCCTATCCCAACAGGGTTTCTTGGAGCGGCTTGCTTCTGCCCCTCCCCCAACCCAGGTTGATGGCATGTGCCACCGTGGCCAGCTTAAGCTACTATTGATGTAATGGTGGATTTGATAGGAGACACTAGTTAGTAACTGACTGAGTGAACGGTAAGGAAGAAAATGATAAAGATGACTTCCAGGTTTTAAATTCAAAGACTTTTCATTTAGAAAAAAGGAAGAATTCTGTTTTTGTGAAAATGAGATGCCATCCAGACTATTCATAATAATTTCACAAATAACTATATTCTAAGAGTTCATTTATATTTAATGAATATTTTCTACTCTTTCTAAATTTTATATTATATAAAATATTTTGAATTAGACTAGGCAATGTGGTAGGTGGTAGTACAAACCTTAATCCAAGATAACTGATAGTTAGGAAAATATTGTGTATGTTAGTAGAAAGAAATTAGAATTATTCTTGAATTATAGGAAGTTCATAATGTTTGAAATTAATGTACCTTACTAGTAAGGTCAGAGAATGGAAATACCTCAGTAGCTTGAATTTATATTGTAAACAACTCAAGAGCTTAATAACAATTTTGAGAACCATATCAAACTTTTAGTTTCTTACATTATTAACACTAATCCTTTTTTTAAAAAACAAAATGGAACAAAATAGGAAACTGCTGCACGAGTAAATCAGTCTGCTCTGGAAGCTGTCACTCCTTCCCCATCTTTCCAGCAGAGACATGAGAGCCTTCGTCCAGCAGGGTGAGTTAGTGTATGGGATTATTTAGTGGACAATATAAGCTATCTAAAGTGTTAGTGAGCAATCTGATTTTTAAAGTACAATTAGATAAGTACTAAGTCATCTCTAATAGAAGTATATTTTCAAAATAATAAATATACTAATAAGGGATGTGTGCGTGCACACATTCACGTATATGTGCCTGTGCAGGCCAGAGGTTGATATGGTGGAGATTGTTATTTTTAAGACAGGATCTCATAAACCTGGAGTCATTGATTTGATAGTCTGACTGGCCAGTGAGTTCCTTGAATCTTCCTTTCTATGCATTTCAGTGCTGTTTTTGCAGATGCCTGATGCCCTGGGGAGCTTTTTAAAATACAAATATTGAAGAGTAAAACCAGAGTTCTCCTGCTTAGGCAGCAGATACTTTGCTATCTCCCGAGTCCAGTTTATGATTTTAATTGGAAAGAAAGGAATCTTTTTTTTTGTTTGTTTGTTTTTTGTTTTTTTGAGACAGGGTTTCTCTGTGTAGCTTTGGAGCCTGTCCTGGATCTCACTCTGTAGACCAGGCTGGCCTCAAACTCACAGAGATCCACCTGCCTCTGCCTCCCAAGTGCTGGGATTAAAGTTGTGCATCACCACTTCTCAGCTAAGAAAGGAATCTTTTACTAAATAACTAGCTAGCTGATTTGGGATTAAGCTTTTACTTTTTCAGTCAGGGTCTTGCTTTGTAGACCAGGCCGACCCAGAGTTTGTGACTCTGTGCCTTCACTTCCTGAGGGCTGCGATTACAGGTCAGTGCTTCTCTGCCTGCCTTGGGAATGCTTTTTATTGGTGTTTGCTTTATACTGTCATTGACTTAAAATATTGTTTCTTTTTTTGTAGTCCTCTAAGCACTGAACTTCTGAAAGAAAAACTAAATTCAGTGCCTTTTTGTTTTCCTTTGTCTCTAGACAATCTCGGCCACCAACAGCTCGAACCAGCAGTTCAGGATCCTTGGGATCAGAGTCCACCAATTTGGCCTCCCTTTCTCTCGATTCTCTTGTTGCCCCAGATACTCCAATACAGTTTGATATAATTTCTCCTGTGTGTGAAGATCAGCCTGGCCAGGGAAAAGCCTTTGGCCAAGGAGGCAGGTGAGTGATGATGTCATGAAGACAATGTGCTGTGTGTAGTCTATAAGATTTGTGATTCTACTTATGATGCATTTCTGCATCAGCTACGTTGTCTTTCATGTAATTGCCTAACAACATTTTCGTAGTTATGATAGAACCATACAGATTCTTTTTTTAAAAGTCTTCTGCATCAATTAAAGGTTTTTGGATAATTAAATGTCAATAATTTTAATTCTGAATTGCTTATCAAGTCTATTACTTGGTTATTTGTCCTGTCAATTGCAGGGGAAATGATAGTTTTATCTTTAGGTTGTGATGATATTTTAAAAATTCTGTGTCAGAATAAGGGGTTGGGGATGTAGCTCAGTTGGTAGAGTGCTTGCTTAGCATGCATGGAGACTTGGATTCAATCCCCAGTACCACATCAAACTTGAGCATGTTTAGCTCATGCCTGCAGTTGGTGTACTTGGGAGTTGGGAGTAGGAGAATCAGATGTTCAGGCTGTCTTGGCTATAGAGCAAATTCAAGTCCAGTTTGGATTATATGAGATCCTGTCTTGATGATGATGTTAATGATGATGAAGAAGAAGAATACTCTTGTCAAATTACTTCATCTCGATGATGATGATGATGATGATGATGATGAAGAGGAAGAATACTCTTGTCAAAGTACTTAATTTTTTTTTTTTTTTTAGGGGGACTGGCTAGAGAAATGGCTCAGAAGTTGAGAGCACTTACTGCTCCTGCAGAGTGTCAGGTCATGGCACCACATGGCAGCTCACAACTACCTATAACTCTGGTTCTAGGGGGCCCGAAGCCATCTTCTGGCCTCGTGGGTTCCTGAATGCATGTGGTGCACAATAATTTATATAGACAAACACACATACACATAAAGAAATGAAACTATGGCGAATTGTTTATTAAGGAGGTTGGGCACTTATTACATTAAATTTGGATATGACATTTATATAATCATGTAAATTTGTATAAATATACTAAGTATGTGTAGCATTTGATATGATATGCCAGGCTGATATGAAAGAGATCAGTATTGGGCAAGAGAGATGGCTCAATGGTTAGCAGCACTTGCTGCTCTTGCAGAGGACCCAGGTTTGGTTCCCAGCACCTACATGGTAGCTGGCAACCATCCTTAACTCCAGCTTCAGGGAATCTGAAGCCCTTTTCTGGCCTCTGCAGGCACTGGACACATAAATAGTGCATATACATACATGTGGGCACTCATCTATAACCTAAAATAAGAATAAATAAATGTTTTTTTAAAAAAGAGGTCAGTATCTTTTTGTGTGTATGTATGTGTGTATATGCACATTTATGTGTTTGCAGATGCACACATACATTTAAGTGCATGTTTTGGGAGGCCAGAGGCCAGCTCAGGTGTTGTTCCCTTAGTGTGATTCCTCAGCCATCCACCTTTTTGACAAAGAATCTCCCACTGGCCTAAATCTTGCTAGGTTGGCTGGCTATCCAGTGAGCCCTAATGATCTGTCCATTTCTGCCTCCTCAGAGCTGGGATTGCAAGTGTGTACAACCTTGCTTGGCCTTTTTTTTTTTTTTTTTTTTTTTTTTTGTGGGAGGGTGTTTGAGACAGGGTTTCTCTATATCCTTGGCTGTCCTGCAGTCTGTGGACAAGGCTGGCCTTGAACTCAGAGATCTACCTGCCTCTGCCTCTCAAGTGCTAAGATTAAAAGTGTGCATGCACTACCACACCTGGCTGCTTGGCATTTTTTACATAGGTTTTGGGGGTTAAACTTAGGTCTGACTGAGCCATGTCCTTAGTCTCTGTCATGTTTTCTTAATGCTAGTATTATTTCAGACCACTGCTTCCAAGACTTTCTTTGAATGGAACTTTTTCCTTCTATCATTGTGATTGTGCCATAAGCTAAGAACAGGAAGAAGGAGGAGTAGTTTTTAATCTTTGGCTTGTTTTTCTCCTTGCATTGTTACTTATATCTTGAGAAATACAGAGGTCAGTTTTATTTCACTTTGTTTGTGGTGCTGGGAATGAAACCCAGGCTTTGTGTGCATACTAGGCAAGCCCTCTTAGTACATACATATCACATATCACATATCACATACATGTGATACTTATATAGAGGCTCAGCTGTAGGGAATACAATTAACAGGAAAGATAATAATGTTTTGAGCTAGACAGTGTTCAAATCTGAATAGTTAACTTGCAGTTTATACTTATAGAACCCAGACTGGGAAAAATCCCAGTTTACAGTTTAGTAAATCCCAGGCATTTTCATAAGCCTTCAGTAGTGTCTAACATTAATCTTCCTCTGTGTTGGCTTGTTTAAATTAGAAAACTTTTGGAAAATAGTTTATTATGAGGACTTTTTGTTGTGTGTGGCTAAATTTATGCCTGCTAAATAAAATACAGCAACAGAGGACTGAAATAGGTAAATCAGTCAATGCAGATACATTGGGTTGGCCTATCACTCAGTGTGAGAGTGAAGCTCATACAGTATTTTGGCCATCCTATTGTTCATTAACAGAGTAGGACATTCTAGAGCTTTTCTTTGTAAACATGTAAAGTTTTATGGCTCAGTTTTTAACTCTGGTCTCTTCCATGTGGCTTGTGGTGACTGACCCATTTGTTCCTATTTTTTCCTAAACTTCAGGCGTACAAATCCATTTGGAGAATCTGGAGGAAGCACAAAATCAGAAACTGAAGGTAGAACACATTTGGATACTCTTACATTCTAGAGTGACTCAGTAGTAGACTTTGAAATGTGCTGTTTGCATTTGTTCTGCTGCTGTGCTCAGCTTTGATGCTGTTTTTACTTCAGAATTGTCTCAACTTTACTCATAGTACTCCTAAGGCAACAAGAACCCAATCTGACTTCAGAAGTTACTCATACACAACTGTAGAATGTCGTAGACTTTTGACCATATAGTCAAATTCTTAGTACATAAGCTATCTCTTGAACTTTTTTGAAAAAAAAAGTTTTCATTTTCATCCTCCTACCCTCAAGAGGCAGTTGTGAATGGAGTATGTCCATGATCTCTTTCTCTGTATCATTGTTGGTGGTGTGTACTAAAGCTGTTGATTTGTGCAGGTTGATTCTGTATTTGCTACACAGCTGAATTTGTCCTTTCTAGAAGTTTCCTGATAGATTTTTTTTTGGGGGGGAGGATCTTTTAATGTATAATATTATGTCATCTGCAAGTAGGGATAGTTTGACTTCTTCTTTCCCTGTTTGTATCCCTTTAATTTCCTTCTCTGTCTGATTACTCTGGCTTGTGCTTTGAGCACAATATTGAAAAGGAGTGGGGAAGTGGACACCTTGTCTTGTTTCAACTTCAGTGGGATTGCTTCAAGGTTTTCTCCATTTAGGATGATGTTGGCTGTGGGCTTCTTACGTATAGCTTTTATTATAGTGAGGTATGTTCCTTCTAGTCCTACTAGGACTTTTATCTTAAGGGCATGTTGGATTTTTTCAAAGGCTTTTTTCTGCATCTATTGAGATGATCATGTGTTTTTTGTCTTTAAGTCTGCTTAGGTTTATTATGTTGAATTGACTTGCGTATGTTGAACCATCCCTGCATTTTAGGGATAAAGCCACTTTGTCATCGTGTATAGTCTTTTTTATTTGTTAGTATTTAGTATTTTATTGAGAAGTTTTGAATCTATGTTCATCAGAGATCCTGGGCTGTGGTTTTTTGTTATTGTTGTTTTTACCTGTTTGGATATTAGAGTGAAATCTATCGGCTTCAAGATGAGGCTTGGGAGTGCTCTTCCTGGTTCTGTTTTCTTTAAATAGTTTAAGAAGGATTGGCTGTAGATCTTTGAAATTCTGGTAGAATTCTGCTGTGAATCCATCTGGCTCTGGACTTACTTATCTGGAAAGCTTTTATTACTATTCTAATCACTTCATTTGTTATTTATATGTTTAGGTTGTTGAGTTCTTGGTTTAAATTTGGTGGTTTGGCTGAATCTAACAATATTTTTTTCTTTATGTTTTCCAGCTTAATGGAGAACAGGTCTTTTAGAATATTGCCATACAATATTCTGGGGAAAAAAATTTTTTTTTTTGTTTCTTTTTCTTCAAGACAGGGTTTCTCTGTGTAGTTTTGGTGCCTGGCCTGGAGCTCGCTCTGTAGACCAGGCTGGCCTCGAACTCATGGAGATCCGCCTGGCTCTGCCTCCCGAGTGCTGGGATTAAAGGCGTGTGCCACCACCACCCAGCCTGAATTTTTTTGTGTCATAATATTTTCCTGTTCATTTCTGATTCTGTTAATTTGAATGTCTGTCAGTCTTGTTTATCTTCTCAGAGACCTGTTGTTAGATTCATTGCTTCTTTGTAAATTTTTTTTATATTTCATTGATTTATACTCTGATTTATATTATTTCTTGCTGTTAACTGGGTTCCTCTGGAACTTAAGTCTGTTGACTCAAACTCAGAGATCTGTGTAGCCCTGGAACTTACTCTGTAGCCTTGAACTTAGAGATCCATTTGACTCTGCTTCACTAGTGCTGGGACTAAAGGCATGCACCACCACTGCCTGGCTGTTTTTCCAAATTTTTTAGTTGTATCATGAAACTATTTATTTGTAATCTTTCTGATTTTTTTAATGTAGGTACTTAGAGCTCTAAATTTCCCTCAAAGGACTGCTTTCAATATGGCCCAGAAGTTCTGTTTTGATTGTTTTCATTTTCATTTGGTTCCTGGAAATTTTTTTTATTTCTTTCTTGGTTTCTTTGACCTATTCATTATCCATTAATAAATTATCTAGTCTCCATGAGTTCGTGTACTTACTAGAGATTTGTTTGTTGTCAATTCTAGATTTTATTGCATTGTGGTCAGGTAAGATACATAGTTACCTCAGCCCTTCTGAATTTGGCTTATGGTATTAATTCTGATGTTTCTCTGTAGTTTTTGTTCAGATGATCTGTCTATTGGAGAAAGTGGGGTTTGGAATCACTATTTATGGGTTGATGTTAATCTTTGTTTTTAAATCCATTAGTACATTTTTTTTTTTTAATAGATTTTTTTTTTTTTTTTTTTT